CAAGTGGGCTCCCACTTACCAATTCCTGTTGATATTTGTCTACCTGAAACACTTCCCAGCGAGATCCATCCTCCGCAAAATGCTCCTCATCTAGTAGCATTGGAGTCACCCCAAAACTAAACTGGCAAAGAGCAGTATTAGGTTCATTTTCAAGTAAAACAATTTTCTCAACGTCATCAAGCGATGCGAAAGCCTCCTGCACCTTTGCAAGGGTGATACATTCACTGGGTCCCTTAAGCACTACTGTCCGTTCAGGATCATACCCATACACCTCACAGACATCCATGACTATCTACAGTAACAAAATAAATTATATGCTATAAAGTAAGACACATCGAGTCCCTGTTCGGGCGCCACTTTCTGTAACCCCTAATTCTATTGAACCAAAATATATATATAAAACAGGGGTAGGGTACCAGGTCCTTCAATCTCGTTATATAGTCTGAGTCCAATCACTGGGGTTTTGAAAGAAATGTGATGTGGACACGATATGCCTTACTTCAAAGCCATTTTATATAACATTTCAACTAGCCAGTCAATTTAACATAAAATCCCAGTATATAAACCAATAACAAAAGTGTATATTATTTCAATAGAGTCCAAAGAAAAAAAAATTATTTGATAAATCAAAAATATACATATATATTTATAATCTTCACTGGGCATCCAAGTGTGAAATATAAAGAAAAAAAATTCTGGCCAGCTCCTCATTGTCCCGTCCGAGAAAAAAATAAAAAAATGGAGACTGGCGCTCTTGGTGTCCTTCGGCAAGAAGGGAGAGGCGAAATGGCGACGTAGTTGTTTTTCCTCGGCCGCTCGTCCTGGCAAAGGAGACTGGCAAGAGAGGCAGATTTTGATAGCGAGATATTATAGGCGCCACAAATGTCAGCAGCAATGCTCAGCTCTGTCTATACCCCGCTCGCTCAAGGCGACTTGTAAAACAGTTCGCCAACCTACGCAGAGCGTAATGACGCAGAGCATACGTTACATAAGAACATAAGAAATTTACAAACGAGAGGAGGCCATTCGGCCTATCAAGCTCGTTTGGGGAGAACTTAGCTAATAGCTCAGAGTTGTTAAAATCTTATCTAGCTCTGATTTAAAGGAACCCATGGTTTTAGCTTCCACTACAATAGCAGGAAGACTATTCCATACTCTGACTACACGCTGTGTAAAGAAA